CAGAAAAGAAGAGACAGTTAGGCAAAACAAAAAATCAGTAGCAGTCAAGACGAGCTAACTACCCGCTAAACTTTTCCAATAGGTCCTAAACTCGTCGTCAGGAGGATCAACGAAAGCGAACTCGTCGGATTTAACGAAGAAGTAGGATTATTGCCATTTTGGGGTCTTGTCAGGGTGACCAGTAATGATGTTGTAGTTCTGTCTCATCCTGATCGAGAACAAACAATGGCTCAAGCGATATATGGCGGTCAACTGCTCGAACGCATAGACGCATAAGGAGACCCCGATCTCAGCAGCAATGACCATAAGGGCAACCATAATGCGGAAGGCCCCGTTCACCATCTGACTTAAGGCAAGATCCCGGCGCGAAACATACGACGTTACGAGATGGGGCAACGAAACCAGAGCTTGGTATCGACCTCGAAATAGGAATCGTAGACACATTGATAACCGACCGGAGGCGACCACGGGCGTTGATCATCGGTCGGGATCAAGTAACACCCACGGCGTTTCGAGCTACAAGCAAAGCCTCCACCGACCTCGCAGTCGAGTGTGTCTTCTCGGTTTTCGCCCAAAATTGGGTACCAGCACGACAAAGCATGTCTTCGGGAAGTGTGGGCTCTCGTTCGAAGACTCCCATACCACTGTAATGTGTAGGGACCTTCGGGCAAGAATCTTCCTCTTCCGACCCCGCGCTAGCTCGGTTATTCCGATTAGACCGAGCTCGCCTAGACCGAGCTGGACGAGATCGACCGGACGGCGGAGATCCAAGACGCATCACTCTCGGATCATTCATTATCTCTGCAGAAAAATTCCCGTCGTCTTCGCCGCTAAACTCGCTTTCCGAATCAACGAACATCAATCTCTGAGCTAGATCGAGACCAGCCGAATCTCTCAACGCTTCCCGATGCCCTAAATTGAAGTCGTCTAAAGGCTCGCCGGTGGTCTCATCCCGAGCAGGACTCGACGTTGTAGCGATCGCTTTCCCTTTTTCTTCCGCCGATAATCTCTTTCGCGGACACATCTTACCGATGGCGAACGTATATATTTTACAAACAAGTCTAGAGAGAGAAAGTAGAGAGAAGGGAGAGAAGAACTACTTGTAAAAATAAACGGGAAGTGGTAAAAAATGAGAGAAGAGAGAAGTATTTATAGGGAAAGAAGGGGTGTGACTCCCAGAGTCATTAATTAGGTCTAGTAGGGCCTAATTGGGCCTTCAGTTTACTCGTGACTGTTCATATTCCGATCTAAATGGACCTTGACATCGGAGAGACTGTTCACTTCCCTACTCCTACAGAAGACACGGAAATCCGAACTCCACGCTAACGCTTCAACGAGTATACCAAAGTTAAGAACCGACCTAGAAACCCGGAAGGCACACCAAGTCGAGCTCCGCGCTAACGACTGAAGAAACGCATCGACATAGAGCGCCGAGTTCACGACTCGACGCGTGAACGAGATCGATGCATCGGAGTTTGATGGCCAAACCCATTATTCAGATAAACCAAGTAGACAAGACCCGTTTCCAACTCTAGTCCTGACACGGGAACGAGTCTGGGGGGGTTTACTGTTGGTGGTGGAATGCTCCCAGCTGCAAAGGCCTACTGAATAATGGGCCTGGTCCACACAAGCTCCGGCCCGACGAGCTAATTGATGAATAATCGAGCTTAATTCGGATAATTCCCGCAATTAGCCGAATTAACGGCACTTGAAAAAAGTGCTCGCTCTCGCGGGCCGTTTGAGGCCCATGTAGTGAAAGGCCTCTGAACCCACGACCTGTTCACTAGGTCAAGGCGCGACCACTATAAAAGGGAGAGAAGAGGCAACAAGGAAAGGATCCGAAATTACTCTCACTCACAAGGCAGCTAGAACTAGGGTTTTCACTCTTGTACTTTCTTTCCAACTTGTACGGCACGGCCGAGCTCCCCACAAGACTCTGCCTCGCCTCTGATTTCCTCATTTGTAACTGAACTCTCTCATCAATAAAACTAAATTTTTGACTCTAAATTGTAAGAAAACGCCTTTGAAATAACCCACAAACGAGTCCTGTCACTCATTCACTGAGCAGACCGAACTCGGTTCAAACAGTTAGGGAATGGATTCACTAGATTTTCAATTCATGCATGTGTTTTGACTTGACTCCATTCTGATTGGTTTTAGATTAGTTTAGCCTTGGTGATGGAGAACTCGTGACTTGGAATATTTGATAAGAGGTGATGCCCAGAAATTATCAACCAATGAATGCGAAGTTTGCCTTATTCTATTAGTGTCGTTTTAGGATGTAAAGAGACATTACCGGAGCAAGAAAGCAGTTCCTTTGTAGCTGTATGTTGTTCATTTATGAGGACTTGTCACGAGTCTATATGACGTTTAGTGGGCTGTTTCATCTCTTGTGGAACCTCTATATGACGCCAAGATGCTTATTTTGCTATGGATCTCAAGTGTATTGGAGTATTAGGGAACTGATGGATCTGTTATTTCTCATTCTGCAGTTGGAAGCGCTTTGAGTTTCCATATGTAATTGGAACTTGGAGATAATTATTTTACCATCATTGCACACACTCGCCAAGCTGCCAATGCATGAGAGGCCATCTAAACGGAGATGTCTTGTTACTAGTGTTTAAACATTTGAATTGGAATCCGACATTAGTTGCAATGGTCTCTTGCAGACAATGGCCTTGCTAAAGAAAACGTTTTGAAAAGTAGACATTCTTTGTTGTGTGGAAGTGAAAATGGAACTCCTCAAAATCGATTAACCAATTCGAATCAATGTAACATTGATGTGTGAAACATCTGTAAATTTGACAATTTGAGCAACTCTGCTAAATCTATTGCATCTTCAGAGATTCATTGACAGACAATTAAATTGTGATCAACTGGATTTTGAGATATCAATATTTATATGATTCACATTGAGATAAATGTTTAACAATGTGCTCTGTCACAATTCTGAAACGTGTTGGCTTCCAAAACCATTCTCTATAACTCTTTTAAGGTGGCTCAATTCCAAAAGGAGTAACCTTCTCGCTTTCAGCTGATATTCGTATCTTGTATCTCTGAACTCAATTATTTCATACTCCCTCTATTTCAATATATTACATAATCTAGAGAAAAGTCTTTTTTTTAAAAGATCCATATTTTATAGTTTTAATGCATTAGTTAATGCTAAATTACAAATTTCAAAACATTTATGAAAATTCCATTGGTTAAAAGTTATTGGGAATAGTATACTACAAAAGAATAATACATTAGTAATTTAAAATTCATAAATTTTCATAATATGTGTGAAAATACTAAAATTTGCATCTTATGGAAACAGAGGAAGTATGCATATATTCTACTAAAACAGAAATACAAAAAAATACTTGTTTATTCTGAAGTGATTTTCTGCAGATTTTCATTCCATTTTTAATTGATTATGTTCACTATTTATGGTTTTTCTAAATAGTCACTTAATTTATTATTTTTTCTAAATAACGACATCATTTATTTAATCGATTCATTTATTATCTTGTACGAATATGAAATTTATATGAATTTGGTTTTGATGTATGAAAATTTTAAAATATTTGAAAAAACTAATGTATCTGAGATATGTTTGAATTTTTGTACCAAAAATAATCATATTAACCGATTCGGGTATTTCAAATCTAAACTAAAAATAACTAAATAATCAAAAGTAATCATATTACTCAGTTTGATTCGCGTTCAGTTCTGATGTATAAGACTTAAAAAAATACAATTAATTATATGATGACATATATAAAATATATAATTTTAATTATAGAAAATATATATCTTTATATATAAAGAAGAGGTGTACTCTCTTCTCCTTTCCCCACCTCAGCAAATGACGTCATCAATGGATTAACCAGTGAGCGACATGTGTTCCTTTTGTCCAAAACTGTGCGCCTCATTAAACCATCTTATCTCATGCGCTTATCCGTTTAACAAGAAGCCCAAATTAGTTTATACAGGGTTTGATTAGGTTAAAGGCGGAACCTTTCTCTCCCGTCTTCTTCACGATCCCACGCCGTCGACGTATCGCCTCCCGGGTTGCGTGGAGAAACAAAACGCATCGACATGCGAATTCCCTTTGCTAAGATTTTGGGACTCTCTTGATGTGAAGAAAAGCGGCGGGATTATAGGGTTCGACATGCTACTTTTGGTTTAAAAGGTAATTCCGGCAACCAAACACTCTTATCACTTTCAGACTAAAAATTTAGTTTATATCTATGCTGATCGATCGTCTTTTTATTTTAGCATATGTAACTATTTTAAGATCAGTAATTTTGAGCGATTATTGGCTTTAGAATATATGTTTACCCTGAGTTACTTTGTAATGAATATTTTGCTGCTACATTCGCCGTATTATGTATACTACTCCTTTACCAATAGAGCTTTCAGAGATGGTACCTCTCCAATCATGCTTTCCATCCGAATATTTCTAAGACGTTTTGACACAGGTTCTGCGTTTTTGGGAGGCAAAACGTTAAGAAATGTGGAGAACTCATGTTGTTTGACTTACTCTTGATTAATGAAAAGGTACGCATTTATCTTCTTTTTCTTCTTTACTGTTAACAGAGTTATTCTTTTTTTTTGGGGGTAAAAACACAAAAATAGTCTTGACCAACTTCTTCAAGCTTCTTACTGACAGTGGACGCTGCTACAAGGTTCCATCTCTGTCGACTGTAATAATCTGTTTGTGAGGATGCTGATTGCACCCGAGGGAAGAAATAAAAAAGAGAGCCTCTATGATGGCTCTGTTCTTTAGCAGATCATGACGTAGTTCCCTGCTTTGTAATGAGGTTCGTGAATTAGTTGTGAATTGTACATATATGACTTGATTTCAGTCGGTTATATGGTGGGATAATCGCGGTACGGCCACTTAGACTGATCCTAAGTGTTTTTTTTTATCAGGATCTTGGTTCTGCTAGCATAGGAAAGAGGAAAATCGACAGACGACGTCACAGCTGAAATTCTTAGATTGGGTTTAGTCTATGTTTAAAAAGATAATTGATCTGGGAAGCTCCTATAAGTTTTCAGTCCTTACGGCGGGAATATGGGGAGATTATAAAGTAAGCAACACCATCCCGTACCGAAATAAGCTTATCAATATTTAATACACAATATTAACTGGGAGTAATTGTCTACTGCAGAGATAGAGATGAGTTCCTAGAATTAGATTAAAGTTCATAGTTTTATGACCTGGTTTTGGAAGCAAGCAGCCTACAAATACATACTTTATCACGAGCGAGTAAGAACAAAGAAGGAGAAGTGTATTAGAGAGAGTATTTTAGAAAGAGCTTCAACGATTAGTAAAGATCAAAACTTTTATCAGAAAATTGCTAATTTGGAACATAAATGCAACGTAAGTGTCCCCTTAGAATAACTGTTCAGAATGTTGTCCCCTTAGAATTAATCTTGTGTGTTAATCCGAAATTAGCCCTATAAGTGTTAAAAATGATTATTTACTTAAGTTAAAAAAAGAAGGTTAATATAATTCATCTTTCTCGACAAAAAAGAAACAAATCTCT